TGCCCGCTCCAAATCCCCGGGAACCGCTCCCTGCCTTGCTCCCGGTGCGCTTCCAATTCCCGGGAACCGCTCCCTGCCCCGCTCCCGGTGCGCTTCCAATCCCCGGGAACCGCTCCCGGTGCGCTCCCAGCTCCCCGAGCTCCTCTCCTTGCCCGGCTCCCGGTGCGCTCCCAATTTCGCATTCCCGGTGCGCTCCCGGCTCTCCGGGCACCGCTCCTGGTGCGCTCCCAATTCCCCGTTCCCGGTGCGCTCCCGGTGCGCTCCCGGTGCGCTCCCGGATCCCCGGGCACCGCTCCGGGCACCGCTCCTTGCCCCGTTCCCGGTCGGTTCCCGGTGCTCTCCCGGCTCCCCGGGCACCGCTCACCTGCTCCACACGCCGCCCCGGCCGCTCTGTGGCTCGCTGCTCCCTGGCCCCGCTGCCCCGCTTTTACAGCCCTCGGCTCGGGGCTGGCGGCTCGGCCCGCCCCGCCGGGGCGGAGTGTGCCCGGGGCCGGCCCCGTTCGGGTCCCCCCCGTGTCCCCCGTGTCCCTTCCCACCCCTGCTGCGGCTCGGGGACAGGGGCTGCTTTGGAGAGGGAGATTTGGGAGGGATGCTCGAGTGATGCTTCTCACCCGGTGTAGCTCCTGCGCTGTGGAATGCCTTGCTGGGAATATCCCATCACTCTGTGTCACACCTCTCATGAGCAATCTTTAATATAAATATAATTGATCCCTGTCCCCATTGCCACCCCAGCAAATACTAACAATAGATGGGAGCCTCTTGTTCTTTCCCACCTCTGCATGGATGATACTGCTCACCCCAGCTGGAAAGATGCTGCAGCTCCAGATTTGGGGCTGCCCTGCTGTCCCCAGCTTGTGGGGTCACCTGAGAGCTTCAGGCAGTGGCTGTGGGGCTTGGAGTTGCACTTATGGCAATAACCTTCATCTTAAACTCATCACATCCTAAATATTGTGGAATTAAGTGACTGATGTAAAGCACAAGAGACCTTTTAGAGCAGCAAAGCCCTGGCTCACTGTGAATTTGTCATTAATTCCTCAGACAGAGCATTTCCTGCAGCCCCTCCACTGAAAGCTGAATATTTTCTGCTGTCTCCAAGTGAGCTCCTGCAGTGTAATATTTTTTCCATGCACCTTGTCCAAACCTCTCACAGAGCACAGGAAACATATTCCACCTTTCTTACCCACGTTTTTGTTGGATTTTCCTCCCTTAAACTGACCCCCTTACTCTTTTTCTGATGTTCTCTCAGTTCTACAACTTTTCTTCTTTTCCTTTTTCCACTGGGAAACTGAAACAGTTCTCAATCCTTTCGCAGTCCTGCTCCTTCCTCTTGTGAAATCCCTGATTTTTACCACATTTTTTGTCTTCTCCACCTTTTCAAAGTGTCCTTGTCCTTACTCTGGGCTTTGACAGGAGATTGCCAATGTGCTGTGAAAACATTAAGCACGGGATTTATAACTGGTGTGAACGAGTGTAAATAAGATTTTGTTAACCTGTGTCTGATATTACATGTGACAGGGGATGTTCCATCCACATGGGATCTGTCAGCAATGCCACTGTGGATTTAGCAAACTTCCCAGGGATTAGTTGGCTTGGAGTGCTCTGCTCAGCTCCTGCCCCAGTGTGTATCTAGGAAATTATGAATTCTCTCTTTATTTTTAGATCAAACAAGCAATAACTATGTTTTCTGTATAATAAACAATGTAGAATGTAGATTAATATTTTTATGAGAGTGGAAGTAAAACGAAATGCGAGCACAATTCCTCAACTCGAAGATGAACATGGAAGAAATAGGATTTCTTAAAGATGCTTGGAGCTGGAGAGTTGAACTTTTTTGAGGAGAAAACAGTAAAATAGCAATGCAAAATATAATCTCTAATGCAAACTGAAGTGCATTCTCATTACTACCTTCTCCATTTGTTCTGGTTTGGATGTGTCTCCACTTCTCATCATCACCTTTCAGTGTTTTATTTGAAACAGAAAGATTAACCTCAAAATCCTCATCTCACAGTAAATAGCAAGGAAGTTCTGAAGGAAAAGTCTCCCACTTATTTTCCTTTCTGGCACAAGGGATGGCAAATCATTCCTACATTAATACTCTCAGCTACACACTTTTCCAGGTGAAAATAAGTACTAGAGAGTAAATTGCCAATTCTGCAGCACAGAGAAGTTTAATTAAATACATTTGAATGTTCTCAAAGATCTGAACTTTATCTGTACTTCTGTAATCAGAGTCTTTCTCAACAATTTCACTTTTTTGCTGGAAGCGTGCAATGCTGAGGGAGCGCAGCTCCAAAGGAGCTTTGGTGGCTCTGGAAATCCACTTTTCACAACAGGACTGCGAAGGAAAAGGACGTCAGAAACAGCTACAGTGCACCTTCTTCTAAAAACATCCTTTTTTTTAGCTGTCTTTTCACTTTGGAGACAAAAAACAACTCCATGGGCTGAACATGCCATGCAAACGCACCGTCAGCTCGGCTGACACCGAGCCGTGCTGACATTTTTTTGTTCCAAAAACTCCCCAACTTTGTTTTTAACAAATTTTTGAATGTAAAAGGCAAAAAAAAAAAAAAAAGAAAAAAAAAAGAAAAAAAAAAGAGAAATAGCCACCATAGGGTGCTGAGCGAAATGCTGAACACAGTAAACATCTTTCATGACAAAGAACACAAATACCCTGCAGATCTGCTGTCAATAGCAAGTCCTAGGCCCCCTGCTTTCAATAGTTAATACTGAGGCCCCTCTCTCCCCAAGCCTTGCTGGTAACAATCACAATGTTAAAATGTTGACATGCTAAGCACATTTGGAAAAAAACCCCATGTCTGCATTCCCTATGGATGGTGTAGCACCGCTGTCTAACACCTAAAGAGCAGCAATTAAAGCCGAAGTGACCTTCTCACCTCACCCAGCCGCTTCTCTCTCGATATTCCCTTTCATGGTGTCATATTTGGAGCCATATCTGTATTTACAGCCTGTCTGCACTGGGAAATGTTTAGGAGGAGTAGCTCAATTAGGGGAAAAAATTATGGTGGAAGAGGTGTTTGTGTCACACTCCTTCGTGCCCAGCCGTGTCTTCGTCGTGGGTTGTAAAAAGCAGCACTGGTTGGAAAAAAACATGTCAGGAAAGTGAAATTTTGGGGAAAGGGTGGGAAAAACGTGTCAGGAAAGTGAAAATTTGGTGAAAGGGTGGAAAAAAATGTCTTAGGAAAGCAAAATTTTGGGGAAAGGGTGGGAAAAACGTGTCAGGAAAGTGAAATTTTGAGGAAAGGGTGGAAAAAACATATCCAGAAAGTGAATTTTTGGGGAAAGGGTAGAAAAATGTGTCAGGAAAATGAAATTTTGGGGAAAGAGTTGAAAAAATATGTCAGGAAAGTGAAATTTTAGGGAAAGGGTGGAAATAAATATAATAATTTGCTTCTAGGGGAGAGATATAAAGAGTTGTAAAGGAGAATTAAGATTATTGTACTGAAGGTTCTGAACCATTATCTGAAGAGAGTGGTGAGAAGCAGACAAGGATTAGCAGATTTCTGGAGCAAAACCCTGAAATTTGATAGTGTGGAAATACACTATTTTCACATGAATCCTGACATCCTTTCCCTTCTTTCAGGCAGCTGCATGTGGAGGGTTTGGGACAGCAGAGAGGTCACAGAGCTTTTGCTGTGCCAGTTTTGGCCCATTTACAAGGTCGGTTAATCCTGACATGAAAAAGGGCAGCATCCATCACATCCTGTGCCCTGAGTCACACCAGCAGCTCTCAGTCTGCCTTTGGACACCTCTCTCCTGGCTTTTTTTTTATTCTATAGCACTCTGCAATAAATGATTTGGAAGTATAAATAAATTTCTATCCATACTACAATCTGTGTACGATGGGGGTGCACATGCTCACTGAAACTTTTTTAGGGGTTTTCAAATGAAAAGGGCTGAAAAGCCTTTTCTGCTGGCTTTTAAATTTTGCCCAGCACTTCTATTATGTGGAGATGAGAGTTGCTGGAAAACTGGGAGCTGCTCCTTGCCTGCTGTCCTGGCACTGGAGACTGTTCCTGTTTGCCCATGTTAATCTGAATTGATTTAGGATTTGCAAGGAGAAGAAAAGGATTAATTTTGTGCGGTTTAGTCATGGAGATAAAGGTGGCTGGTGGGTTTTGTGCTGGAATTGCAAGGCAGAGGTTGTGGGCACAAGTCTGACCCATTCAGTTCCCTAAATCCCTAAAGGGCTTTTAAATCCCAGCTGCTAGCAAGCAAATTAATCCATATGACACTCCTTAGGGAGTTAGAGGTGCTGTATCTGCATATAACATTTTCCCTGAGAGATAATGTCAAAATTAAGGAATTAATTAAGGAATTACGGAATTTATAAATTATTATTATATTATATTGTTATTATTGTATTATATTAGATAAATTAATTATATTCATAAAGTAAGGAATTAAGGCATTAATATTTCCCTGGCCAGGTAATTTTCCTTGCTGCTGCCACTAGGAATTTCAGCTGTTTGCACTCATTGAAGTGTCACTGGTTTTATGGAGGATGAAAAGGGCTCATGGAAAATTTAACAGCACATGGTTTAGATGGGAAAGAGTCACGGTGACGGCAGGGAAAGACACGATGCTATGGATTTGATGGATGAGTGTATGGGTGCTTTAAAAGACAACAGGAATACTACACAACTACTTCAGCCTCGCACATGGTTGAAGATTTGATTTGAAAGTACTTTCGCGGTACTGTTTTGTCTTTGTCACAGTTAACAGCGGCTAATTGCCAATCTGGGTGATTTCAGACAGAAATTACACCTTTTTCCTGCCTGAATACACACAAAGCTTGCGACGGGGAAAATATCAACATCACTGGCATTGGTGGTTCAGTGGTAGAATTCTCGCCTGCCACGCGGGAGGCCCGGGTTCGATTCCCGGCCAATGCAGTTGATCTTTTCCTGTTTCGGTTTTGATTTTTTTTTTTTTTCCCCCCTGAGTTCCTTATTTCTTCTTCCTTTTCCGCTTCCGTCGCGGCCGCCAAATCCTCCTTCAGCTCCACCGGGCCTCACCCCGCTGTTCCTCCGTCGTGTCCCGCCGGGCTGCGGCTGTCTGAGGGCGGCGGGAGGATCTGAGGGGAGGCCGCGCCGGAGAGGACAAGATGGAGGTGTAAGGAAGGGCCTGAGGGGGGAGCGCAGGGCGGGCCTCGGAGCTGCAGGGCATCTCTGTGGGGTTTCTGTGGGGTTTGTGTGGGGTTAATCTCTGTGGGGTATATCTCTGTGGGGTTTCTGTGGGGTCGGTTTCTGTGGGGTATGTCTCTGTGGGGTATATTTCTGAGGGGTATATTTCTGTGGGGTGTGTGGGTCCATCCATGTCTGCCTGTGCGTGAGGGCTGTGAGGGTACAGGAAATCCCTGAGGGGTTTATTGCCCCCAGCAGTGAGTTCTGGTAATGTTTGAGGAGTTTATTTTCTTTAAAACTCCTGCCGGACAAGGTGTTGTGGTGAAAGGCGGCCTCCTCCCCTCCTGTCCCATACCTCTCTCCCTCAGGGAGATGCAAAATGGGAATTTTTCATTATTCCCGTGATCTTTGTGTAGGAGCTGGCAAAGTTGGAGAAGGAAAAAACCTGAGGGGTTTGTGCCAGCCATTGCAAACACAATAACAGAGTTGGAATTTTGTCTGGTTGTTATTTCAGGGCTGTTACACCAGGCTTTCTTACCGTGTGTTTCAGGCACAAAACTATAGGATTTGACCTATTTTGAAGTTTAAAATCTCACGAGTTCTGTGAAGCTGATTAAATTTCAAGTTTTCCTTTTAATTTCTTTAATGGGTGGGGCACTCATGGGAGGTATCCCCTCAAATCATTGAGCTCCTGCAGCCGTGTAATCCAGGGGTGCTTTATTATCATTAAATCTCTACTGTGAGCATGAAGATCAAAAGTTGATTAAAAATATGAAACATCTGCTGAAGTACAGGTTTGTATGACAATCTTAATCTGAGTAGCAGCCTGCAGACAAATGAGCTGTTCAGGCTGTTGTACACTGAGAAAGATGCTTTTGATACCATTAATAAAAAATCTGTCATGTTTCTTATACATCTACTGAGTTTTTATTAATCTTCTTTTGCCTCCTGCCTGATTTGGAAGGGAAGCTTTGCAACTCTTCAAGTTCTTACTCTGGATTTTTCTTAGCAGAATTATTCTGTATTTCTTACCAGAATTATCTGTTATTAGAAAAAATAATTCTCAGAAGTGTGTTTTAAATATACAACACATTGAAAGCAGACTTAAAAATACGAAGTGTCAGTGATATTTGCAAAGATGTGATATTTTTTGATATATGCAGCCCTAGTCAAGAGTATTTTGGTTTAGACTAAAATTTGGGCAAATATTAACTATTTAAAGACTCTAAAAAAATGTTTGTATTTTTGGTTTTACCATGAAGATGTTTACCTTTCTGCTTACTCACATAAAAATTAAGCAAAGTGTTGAGTTGACTGCTTGAAAATATACATTAGAGACCATTATTCAGAATTCCTTGTTTCCTGACTGTAAATTTGGTAGCTGTGAGTCAGGACTGAAAGAAATTTTATTTCTATTGCAAACTTTGATCACTTTATAATTTGGGTATTTCAGCACAACAGAGGTGTTGAAGATTTGAGACTGACTCATTGGCAGAAGTGAAAAAAAAAACCAAAAACATTTTTCTGAATGGCAAAGCTGATTGGAATGAAAAAGGAAAGCAGTTGTCTTAAATAATTTCATTCTTAACCTTTGATTCCGCAGCCCGATTTGGATGGCGATGTATTTATTTCATCCTCTTTCAGCCGAAGAATTCCATACGTAATTCTCCCTATAGAATGTCTTTGATCCGCGGGGATTTCTGTAGGGCCCGGCTGAATGCAAACATTCTGAAGACTTGCATTTACCTCGCAACAAAAGCTATATATGGTTTGTAAAACATGAATGAAAAACTAATGCGTGCCTGAGCTCACTTGCTGAAGTTTCACTCGGGTCAGCGAAATGGAAGTTGAAGTTCATCTCAGCGTATTTTAGAAGGTCCTTTTCATTTAAAAACAATGCTAGAACCTGTGGAAGTTTGTGGATGCATTTACCATTTGAAAGTGATGAACGTGACAGTTCTATTCAGATGATTTGCGGTGCTTAACAACACATTGTACCTTTTTTGTTGTTTTTTTTTCTTTTTCCTAAGCTGCTGCACAGACCTGAGAAAAGCCTTTTTTTCCTTTTGTATGGAAACTTTCTGTTGTTGTGGCTGCTGACTGCTCAGCAGAATGTGTTGTTCAGGGAATAGAGGATGTTCTGGGGCAGTTTTTCTCCCTCTTTTTACTTTAAATATATAAATTTACAATATCCAGGAGGAATAGAGGCACGATGGCTCTGCAGTCACCCTTGGATAAGGATTCTTGCTTAAGGGGACCAAGGAAGTGGAAAATGGGAAGCCCAGCCTTGCCCTTCTAATGTAGGAACAGGCACTTAAAGATGGGAAGAATAAATAAAGAGGAAATGCAATAAATTGCTGTTTTTTTCACTCAGTACAACACGTAAAAATTAAAGCCCTATTTGTGTCTATACACACACACACATGTCCATGGTACTAAAATACTCAGGATGCTCTTGACTGATAAAGAAAATAGTGCATGTAATCTGAATTATTTTTCCCATCAGTCTTTATTTGAATAAAATCAGAGGCGTTTTTTTCCAAGGAAGAAGCAAAGCAATTAGGTTTGAGTGTGTGAAATTGGGTGAGTAAAATAAGGTGACTGGGTGACAGGAGTGTATTCTACAAGTGTATTATGATTTATGGGGCAAACTGTGTAAAATATACTCAATATTTAAGTCATTTTGTATTGACAAGATGGAAAATATTTTCCAGAGATGGAAATCGTAGAATCACCAAAATAAAATGTCTTGGAGCTTTTTTTTTTTTTTTTTTTTAACTTTATCTTCTTTTAGTGTCTGTGACTGGGCAAAGAAAAGCTTCAAACAGTTTCATTTGGAACGTAATTAATTGTTTTCATTTTTCCTTTTAGAAAAGATGCAAATGCCGCATTGCTGAGTAACTTTGAGGTAAGTTTGTCTTCATTCTGCTTTTAAAGCAGCATTTCAAGCTGTCATCAGTCCCTTGTATAAATCTCTGGAAGCTGAAACCTGGCAGTGGCAATCAGCAAAACCTGTGGGGGATTTACTCTTCCTTGCGTTTGGCTTGTTTTCAAGAAAAAAAGCTTTTTAAAGAAGATTTGGAAATGGTTTTGCTAGTAATGGGTACTGTAGTATTGTTTGATCTTGAGATTATTCTGAAGTGGGTATTTTTCTCTCTCATTTTAAGGGGGGTAGAAAGAAATGTTGTGTTCTTGATGGTTTAATTTAAGCCAGGTAATGGAAATATTTTGCTTTGCTGATTAATATAATTCTTGAAACAGTTTTAATAACCCAAGTGGCTTTGTTTGTGTTATTGTATTGCTGGAGCTGCTTTTTATTGCAGCTGTTTCATTTCTGAACTTAATCTTGAAGTGTTTTATCCTGAGCTGCATCTGTCTGCAAACAGCAGAGCAGGAATCTTGTGAGTGTTAATGAGGCATCTGGAAAGAGCTCTTTTACATTTCCTCTGAGAAACAGATGATATCATCTCAGCCAAACTGGTGTTCAGTGCCTGGCTGTTAAAAACGTGAAAAAAATAGCAAATATTATTTTTAAAAGTACTGATACCCCTCCAACTCCTGATAGCTTTCCATTTGCTCCACTTCCCAGTTGCAGTTCCACTGGCACAGCCGACGTTCTGTAAATCGAAGTGATGCTTTGCACACAAAGATGCTCCATCCCTGCAGCTCTTCTGTGAGCTTGTTGTCCTTTTGTGTTTGTTGTCAAAGTTCACAGCCTGAGTCTGAGATTTCAGCACTGACAAGTGTTCCTTTTCCATAGAAGTGTGAAGTAATTGAGGGCTTGTAGCTGATTATGTTCATATCTCTCACTGTCTAGAAATGTTTGGTTTCTTATTTCTCTGGACTTGTCAGTTCATAATTCCCTGAGCTGGATCTTGAGTGAAGCCAGGTAAAAATGAGGGAATGAGCAGTGAGAAGTGACTCTGGATATACTGCAAAGCCTGAAGCAAAACATCTCAAAAAGTTCCATTCATCTGTTTTAAATAGTCACAGCTTTTAAAAAACAATTTATACCCTTAGTCATTACTCTGGGGCCAAAACATTTCTCATTTCAGTTGCTTGTCCATCCACCAAAACAACCACACATTTTTTGTTGTTAGGCTGATAGGATTTTTCCTGTTCATTTATGATTTCCTGTTGTAATACTTTTAGGTAAAATACTCTCAGATGCTCTAAACCTCTTTATTTTTTATCTTTAGGTGTACCAGTTACTTACTGATCTCAAGCAGCAGCGTAAAGAGAGTGGCAAAACCAAGCAGAGCTCTGGGCAGCAGAATCTGAACACAATCATGTATGAGGTGAGCAGCACTGGCAAAGCCCAGTTAGCTCAAGCTGCAATAATTCACATCTTTAGGGTTGTCAATTAATAATTTGGTATCAAATATCCCCTAATTCAAACCATAATAAAATGTTCTATCTGCCACTTTTCTGTGGTCAGGTTATAGGGTAACTGTGCTGTCAGGGCAGAGTTAGGCAGCTGCTGTTCTTAAAATCTATAAAAAAAATTCCCCTGGTTTTCAACTGTTTACTGTTGTTAGGATTTTTTTTTTAATTCTGAGTATTCCATCCTTTTAAGACACAGGGCAGAGCTCACTATCATCTGACAAATTCATGATGTCACCAAATGTGATAATTAAAATGATGATTTCAAAGCTGAGGCACAGATTACATGATATTTTTTTATTAACAATTAAATTAATAATTCCCAGCCAAAACAGATAATTTTAATTGGTTTTTGATCTAAAGAAAAGCCAAACCACACGTACAGACATCACTTGGATGCCAGGTCGGGAATAAACATTTCATCCCTTGCTGGGAAGGAATTCTAAAATCTTATAATATAAATACCAACATTTAAAATAAATTAGCAACTTCCCAAGAGCCTTGCAGTGAGACTCATTGTGTGTGCTGCAGAATTGGGGACTGACAGGCAGCTTTGCTTGCATGAGTAATTCTGTTGAGCACTGAAACGACTCATGTGGATAAGATCTGGCCTAGGCTTTGGTTTTGTTTTAGTTCTGGCTTTGTTTGAAAAAGGTACAGAGGTTGTAATTCCTAAGCCTTGCATTCAACAAAATAGGGGCTTACCAAAAATGGGAATTAAATCTTTATGGAGACTGACAGTCTCTTCCTGCACCTCTGGGAAAACAGCTGAGGAAGATCCTGTAAGTAAATTTTATCAGGATGCACCTGAAATCTTGAATTGCTTTGTTATTCTATATGTTAAATACCTATAGGATGCTTGGGGGTGTAGGTGGTATAAATATTGGGTGTATTTTCTATGTTTGACTGAAAGGAAAGCAGAATTTGATTTTACAGGATTGGATTTCTTCACAAGCTCCCTGCAGACTCGGATCCATTGGCACTGAAGTAACTCCAAAGCAGCTTTGTTTCTCTGTATATTTGGCTTTTTCATTGATTTGAAATTGCCAAAAAAAAGATGAACCCGGGAGAAAAATTACTCCTGTGAAATAATTACATTACTTGACAATATAATAATTTTCTTTCAATCACTGGTGGTGAATAACAGCTTCATTTTATCTGGAACGGTCAGACAGGGCTTAAAGAAATGAATAATAAATTATAATTATTTCCAACTCTTCATTTTGGGGTTTAATTCAAGTAACAAGAAATATTTAGAAGATATTAAGTCACTTTCAGTGAAAAGTCAGCTGTGAACTGGAATTTTTGTGGGTTTTTTTATCAACAAATTGGTTTTTTACTAATGTCAGATTACTCTGTGTAATGTAATTCCATTATCCACGTGTTCAATGTTGTTATTTTAAATAAAACAAATAAATGAAACATCTCCTGTCAAATTCAGTTGAGGTTGGTGGGTGTTACATGGAAAAATGATCAAAGTTTAATTGTCTCAATTAATATTTAACAGCAAAATATCCTTGTAGATTCCATAACAAGCCACTTAATCTGCTTCTATCAACTTTAAATTGCAAAAAATGCAGGTAAAGGATAAAAACAATGCTAGATTAGAGAACTTAAAGACAGATTTCTGGGCTGGCAGTGAGAATATTCCTGACACTGAGCTCATGAAAACTCAGTTTTTAAGGATAAATTCAACTTTCCTGTGTGCTTTTAAAAGACAAAAGCCAAGCAAGGAGCAAACCAATGTAGCAAATGTTTGTCACAAAGGGCAAGAGGGCTTTTTTTAGCAGGTACAGCTGAAACTGAGTCCTTTCCTGTACTCTTCAACTTGCAGTTTTGGGCTTTGAACAGCTCAGATAAAGTTGATTTCCAAACGTAGTGGTGGTAGTGGGGGCTACTTCACAAACCTGAACTTATTTTCCAGTTTTTCTCAGGACTGAGGAGACTTTTCAGACCACTTGTTCCATACACAACTGGTAAAACAAGTATTAAGTGTGAAATAATAGAAAATAATAGATGTTTTCTTTCTGTCCCTTGCAGACACTGAAGTACATTTCAAAAACACCCTGCAAGTACCAGAGTCCTGAGACTGTCAGGGAGTTCCTGGTAGCAATGAAAGACCATAAATTAACCAAGTAAGTAATTAACTCCTGTGCATTTGAACAGGAGTAAAAACGCAATTAATGCTGAAAAATTATCTCCGTGGACAGTGTGATGATCTGAAGAATGGAATTTAAGTATTTTCTGCCATTATTTAAATGCTCAGAGAAACATCTTTTCCTGCACTCATGGGTGAGTATTTCCAGCTTCTCTTTATGTGCAGTTTGTCCAGGATCTCTGAGATCTACACTTCAGTTATTTAAATATTGTATCTCAAGCTTCCCTCCTCCCCCAGCAATTTCCAGTGAAGCTGAACGTCCAGTTGTTATTTTGGGAAGTTCTGCCTGGAAAAGAAAATATTTCCTTTGCAATTCCAAGACTCCCAGGGCTTTTTTCCTCTTTGGCAGATCTGTGAGTGCCTGTTCTTGAGGCACATAATCCTCTTGGAGCTTTGCAGAGTGGGAGTGAAGCCTGATGTAAATAGAAATGGAATCAGCTGGCCACTTGCTTGGATAGCTCAGATCACTTCTTTGACTTCTAAAACAGAAAAAAAGCCAATATTTAGCTGTTTCTAAATGGCTCCTCCTTCACTTCAGAGGAGTTTATGCTGGATAGACACTGAGTGTGTTTTTATTCCCTGCTGGAAGGACTCCCAAGGAGTTCATCCTCTGGGAAAGAGGCTTTTCATTCATTTGGCACTGCCACAAATCACACAGTGAGAGCTCTGGAGTTCTGCAGGGCAAGTTTTTAGCTTGTCCAGAGCAGGGAAATCAGATTGTCAGCTTTCTGTTAGACTTTCGGTGCCCCCTCTCTACAGACAGGCACATCCAGCACAGCAGCAGCTCTGCACAAAGGGATGCTCTGCTCCTTGGGAATTCTGTCCTGGAATTGTGCTTGGTCTCAGTAAGTCAGTGTTTGACCCTCCTTTAGCTCATTTTATACAGCAGGATACTCATTTATGTATCCTAATTATTTTCTGGAGGTATTGAAGCATGGAGAAAAGAAAATAGTCTGCAATAAAAATACTAGAGGTATAAAGAGGTGGTAATATGGCACTGAGAGGGTCTTAAAATTGGCAGCAAGCATTTCTTGAGTAGTAGTGAGCGTCCTTCCCTTCTGGTAATGTAAAACAGCCCTTTCTGAAGAGAAATAAGCTTTGCTGTCTGTGCAGGGCAGTAGTTTAGGAAGAGCCAGCAGAAGGATGTAGCACAGCAAAAAGGCAGAGTAGGATTTTTCAGAGTAAAAGGAACTGAATGATGTTAGTGTCAAACTCCCATTAAAAATCAAAGAGTTTGTTTATTTTAATTTAAAGCTCATTTCTAAACTTCTTTCAGGTAGAATTTGACCAGGACTTGAGGGTTAACTCTTAGCGTTTCCACTTTAGGTACCTTGACTGCAACTGCTCCCCTGGATGGGTTCTGCAAGAGTGAAATACTGAACAATTTAAGTTAAAACAGAGAAACTTCCCACTGCAGATTCTCTGTCTCCTACAGTGCTGAGCAGTTTTGTAGAAGGTCTGCCCAAATATTCATCTTCCCACCCCTGCTTGTTCAGTAAGCTGGAAAGGTTGGAGTAGTTACAAGCTTTAAGTGAGATTTTGGACTGTTTAATTTTTAACGGATGCTCTGAGGTGCATTTGGGGTTAGGTATCATCCTGTGTGTCCTTCTTCTGGGGCAGTGAAGCCAGGGAATGACTCCCAAATAATTTCTTGTGCATAGTGGCAGCAGGATGAGAGTGAACAGCCAGCCAGTGCTGTAGGTGACAAATTTACTCTGTCAGAATTCAGATTTGTTCTGTGAGCCTCCTGCACAACTTTTAATTTTTTAATCCCTCCCTTATCTGGTAAAGAACTTCCCAACTCTGCCATATACTTTACAGAATAAAACCCAGAGTTGTTTTGTGTGTGATCCTGGCTCTTCTTTTTTCTGGTCTTTTCCATGCAGCCACTTGAAGCCAGAAGTGTCAGGGCCCATCTGGCATCCCCTTCACCCCAAACCACAGGGAGCACGGGGTGCAATTAGTCTTTAAGGCACTTCATGTTAAACCACTTAAACCAATCTCCAAGGCAGTTTGGAGCTACCTTTTGGTTCCTAACCAAGGTCATTTCAGCACTGCTTCTCTTGTTAAATGAAAAGGCTTTGATGGTTTCCATTCTGTGGGATGGAGGTGGTGTTCAGGGATTTCATTTCCAGCTGTCTGCCAGAGAGCTTCCTTCCCTTGGAGGTGCCTGCAGTGTTTGCTCTTCCAGGACCTTGCTTGCATGATCCCTGTAATGACCTTTCCTCCCACCAAGAGTAATGAGCTCCAGACTCTTTGCTGCTTCCTTTCTGGGTAAGGCACCCCAAAATGTGCTGATAGCTGATCAGACACTGTCTGTGCTGATAATAGCTCTCTGAAGTGGCTGATTACATTTAAGATATATTTGTGTTAATTGGGGTCTGCCCTCAGACAATTCAGTCTGGTTTTAGGGTCAGCAACACCCCATCAGCCCAGACTGCTTCCCTTGGAATTCCTGTCATGACTCTACCTCTAATCAGAGGGGAAATAATTAAGCAGCGTGTTCATGGTCTTAATTAGGCTCAGCCTATTTCCTAATACGAGGACTTTGAAGATCAGGATTTGCAGCCCTGCCTTGGGATGTGACATTCCCTGCTCAGGCTGTGATTGCTGCCCTCAGCGCTAGGCTGTGCTCGTGGATGGGAGAATCCTCAGCTGGGAAGGGAGAGCAGCCAGGGAAACACTGGGAATTGAGGCACAGCAGAATTTGAATCAAGGGAATTCTTATTTTTCCTTCCAAACCCTACAGGATGTCAGGCTGCACGTGATGTCTCTGCTCCGGTGAGAGAGCTGATAATATAATTCTGGCAAATTCTGCAGTTCCTGGAAAATCACCTCAAATTCTTCTGTTACCACTGATTTTTGCTGCTCAAAATACCACGTTAATAGACCAGCATCCATTTTGTGATGGATTTGTCTCATTGGTCTCAGATTAGTGTTACAGACACAAAAAACAGGTTCCTAAAAGGCAGATTTTAAAAATACCAGTGTGTGCAAACAAATATTCCAGAGTCATTTCAGAAAGCTGCCTTGCTAAATGGAGAAAATTCAAAGCCAGATATTTCACTGACATAGTTAAGGTGTGGTAAAACAGTTTTTCCCATAGTTTTTAATCATTACTTTGGTAAAATTCAAACTGTAGAACTGAGATTTTTTTTAAAACTAAAGCTCTGAACCCACATAATGAAATTTATTATTACCTTGTTGAGGCCTCAAGCTTTGGCTGAAGCTCCAGTTCAGTGAGCCATGTTATATTTGGAAATAGAGTTTGCCACTAGCAGATAATTTTCCAGTATTAGTGCTGGAATGGCTTCATATTTGTAAGGTATAGTGAACTGCACTGCATGAAAAGCTCATTTATTGAGCTGCAGCTCTGTAATTATGGTTCAATTAAAACTGGCTCTTCTTGTTCTTCTTCCTGTTACTGATAGCCTATCTTGGATCTAATTGTGGGATAATCACATTTCCAATCACTGCATGTTATTATAATTTTTTAAAAGAACTCATCATGAACATTGCCCTTTTTGTCTTTAAATCAACACAGTCAAGGAAGTGTTGAGCTGAAGATCTTCAGTACTTCTAGAAAGTATTTTCCCTTGTGACTGCCAAAAACTACAACAGACACAAACCTCTGCAATATTAAAGACTGAAGGATTTGCTTTGTGATTTTTGTCTCCTCCAGAGCTTTCAAAGTGAATATTCATTCAACAGCAAGTCAGGATCGTGCCCATTGAACAACAGCATCATATAAGAGATTTTAAAAAGATCATTCTCAGTTTTTCCAATGGGAATCCCTGTGGAGAATCACAGCACTCTCTGGGGCTGTGATTTCCCACTGTGGGGGAATCCTCCCTCAGCCAGCCCCTGTGCTGAGGATTCAGTCATTAAGAGTTGCCATGGTTGATTGAGGACCATGGGATTTATATTTCCAGCAGGAATAAAACCCCTGGTTGTGTGTCCAGCTGTTACTTCATGGTTTTCCTAGCAACTCTCAAACAATCCATTCTTGAAGATATATTTGCTTCTACTCAGGCACAGATGTTTGAAGGGGTTTTTTAGCTCTCTATGCTGGATCTTGGCACTGTTTTATCCTTACCCAGTCCTCTTGCTGGAAAAGCAGTCTGGGAGTTCAGCAGATTAAAAAAAAAAAAAAGGCAATAGCAGCATGCTCAGGAGATTTTGGTTAAAATATCAGAAATGGCAGAAAATTATGCATTTTGCCTGAATTTCCATAAGAGCATGGAAGTATTTGTATTATTTTTTAGAATGGATGTATCAATGTAGGGATGTGCTGTCCATTCTGTCTGTGATCTTGAACATGACTCAGATGTAGTTTTTGTCTTGTAGAAATGTTTTTTGGGATTTTTAGGATGGAACTCAACATCTTCACCTCCTCCAGCACTCTCACCTCACACAGACATCAGACCCATTTTCCTCCCCATAACTGCACAGGTTTTTGTGCCCTGCAGTCTGAGCTTTGTGTGTGTCCCCAGACCCACTCCATAGCATTTTTCCATCCTGGAAAAGCTGCTCCTGGCTCCAGCTGAGTCCCAGAGCTGCAGGATGTGGGCTGAGGCTCAGCCCCACAGCAGGAATTGCCATTTGGGGATTCCTCAACAGGCAGGTCCTGTACAAGTCTGCAGCACGGCCCATTAACTCTGATTAGTAGAATCTTGCTTTTATGTGAGAAAATTGCTTTCAACTGTCACTCATCTTTTGTATGGATTCTCCTCTTGAATGAGCAGCTTTCGTGTTCCAAACTGTTACTAAAATCCAGGCAGAGCAGGGAAAGTGCAGATGCTGAAGTTTGAGGGCAATGAAGCTGAAAATGTTCTTCACCTTCTGTTTGGATGAATGGGACAGTTCCCTTTTTTATTTAACGAGCATCAGCGTGCCATGCATGCTGTAGAAAGTGTAAAGATGAATTCATGGGAGCTGGAAAAAGTTAATTTTACTTTTTAGATTTAATGGAGCATGAGCTTAGGTCTGTGCCCAAGCCAAACACTGCAGTCAGGGCTGATACTAATGCATGGTTGCCTTACTTAAAGCTAATCTCTGATGAAATTGTGGTTATTCAGGTTTTAATCTGTGTGTGTGCTGTCAGAAAATTCCAGGTACACAGAGAGCCTGATCCCAGCAGTCAGTTTTTGGGATCAGACACAGAGCCTGGTCCCAGCAGTCAACTTTTGGGATCAGTGTTAAAAAGGTGAAGTGGGTACTGAGCTCCCACTCAATCCTCTGCCCTCTGCTGCTGCTGAGGGCTGAGCAATCCAGCTTCCTATTAAATGAAATTTGGAGACTTTTTGGGAGTGTTTGTTTCATTGCTTACCTCATAATTACATATTACCATGACTAAAGATCATTATGTCGGGGTGTTAATTAGTGCTCACGCTGCACAAGCAGCTCTAGATGAAATATGGCATTTATGCAGCTTTTGGGATTTTTTTTGCACCCTGCTGCTCGTTCCTTTGTGTTGTTCACCATCATTTTCCAGTAGGGAGCTTTGCTGATCAAAACCAGCCATGAAATCCTTCAGATTATACATCTGAATATGTTAATCACTTTTAAGTTCTCTCTCATTCTTCTGTACACATTTTTTAAAACTGCAAATACCCTGAAATGATGCTTTTAGGATCTGTTTGGCCTGACTGTAAAATTTCTGTCTATCCCTAATGAGTTGGAGTGATGTTCATAGTTTATAAGCAAAAAATCTTGGAGAGGCAACCTTTTTTTGTTGTGCCCTCTATTTCTTCAGGAAACATGAGCAGTTGCACTAATTGATTGTTTTAGTCACAATGTGTAATTGGTGTTAATTTATTTCTGCTTTCTGCTGTGCCAATAATCTTCCTTTGATAAACACAGCTCTACCTGCTTGAAAATAGCTCTGGGTAAATCAGGTTTGCATTCTTCAGCTCAGGCATGAAATGGATTTTGCTGTTTGATCCTCTTCATTTGGCTCTGGAGTTTTGCTGGCAAGGAATTTCAAGGATATTAATTTGAAAAGAAGAAGATGGGGAAATTTATTTAATAAAAGTAAAATAATGTGCTTTGTGAGGAGGATTGGTGGAGCTGGAGGATTGGGATGTGTCTTGCTGCAAAGGAGAAGAAGGAGTTGTTTGAGAAGGCTCTGATCTCAGAAGTGGCATGTGAGAGAAACTTGGGTAAAACATAAATTCATCACATTCTGTCCTTGTAAGTAGGGCTGGGGGAGGAGGAGGAGGGAGGTTTTTACAAGGAGAATCCTCAGAGAAGTTGTTGGAGAGCTCTGGAAACTGAGGCACCAGCCCTTGCTTGGCCACGGAGCAAAGCAAAGACCCCTGAAAGCACCAGCTCTGTGCCTCCATCAGGCACCAAAGCAGGGAATTTCCCAGCTCTGGAGGAAAAATCTATCCAAAATCCAGCTGAATTGGCCAGATTTTTATAAAGACATTATTTCATATTCTTTCCCCAGCTCTGTGTGGCAGTGCTGCCTTTAGCTCCCCTTTTACACAAGTGAATTTTATCTCTCATTGATTCCTTAAATCCCCTGCTTTCCATGTAAAAGATTTGAGTGCTCATCTCTGTCATTATTTCCTGGTTTTTGTGACAGTGGTAGATGGCAGCAGTTACAAACACCTCATCTTTCTGCCAGTAAAGTGCTCTGAGTTCAGAGCAAAATCCAGGCACACTCTCCATAGCCTCATGTTGGAAACACCAAATAGATTTGAGTGATTAACATGGGAAAAAAAAAAAAAGGTGTGTTCCCTGCTTCCCATCACCAGTGGAAACTTGTTTTGGCTCTCCAAAAGCGAAGCAAACTAATAATGAATAAATAAATAGGAGGATTTCCTGGAGCTTTCTGTTAGGAATTGCTAAGATCTCACAAATGCTGTATTGAAAATTTACAAGCTTTTCTTCTGAAGCAGAAAGTGATGATTAAAATAGACATTTTAGCTGGATCATCCAGCAGCCAGTGGCAGAGGCCATTTGAAATGAAATTATATCTCTGAGGTATCTCCAGACACACAGAAATTGTCAGTTGTAAACATGGAGTGATGTGTGTTCTCTTAAAAGCTGTGAGGTTTCCTTTCTAAAAAAACCCCATGGGAAAACCCTCCAGAATCAGTTTAAATATGCTTTAAACCCTCCAGAATCCATTTAAATACACTTTAAAGATGTCCTATAAATAGTAATAAAAAAGATTTGTTTTTTTTTTTCAAATTGTAGTTCCCTGCTGGAACTTTGTATTTGCAATGAGCTAAAAGGATGAACAAGTTGTTGCCATTTGATGGGATTGTAACTCCTTAGGTATGAAAATTGTTTTTGTGGTTGTGTGTTCATAGCAGAAGTTTTTGATCTCTGGTGAGTTGTTTAACATTTCTGCACAGCTTTAACAAAGCAGCAGTTAATTAATGCTTGCAAAGTAATGATCTAAGGGTCTCTGCTTGCCACCTTGGGCTAGAGGTGCCAACAGCAGCGTGGCTGAACGCAGGACAGTCCCCAAATCATTAAAATACCCAAATGATGGCCCTTCAGCCACACTGCAAACCCAGCCAGGATTATTCCTGGCAGTGACATTTCATCCCAAAGATATCAGGAATGTGTTTGCATCACTGCAGGCATTGAGGGGATCCTCAAACCACCCAGTAATGTGGATTTTCTTACACTGTGCTTTTACCAGGGCAGAAAAGCTGCAGCTGCTGAACCACAGGCCTGTGACTGCAGTGGAAATCCAGCTGGTGAGTAACAATGCCTGGGCCTGTTCAAAGCTTAACTGGAAGCAGCTTTAACCTTGGAGATCAATTGAATAATTGCTTTCTCATGGGCCAGTGATTGAATATATCCCTTTATGCACATTTTACATCTACGGGTTCAGATCCACTCAGCTTCCTGTCAGAGCCCTCTCAGACAGATTCTCCACCTCTGTTTCAGTGGCACACATTTAAAATGCCCAATGCAGTCATTAAAGGTGATTTATGAAAAAAAGGATGTATTTAATCTTTTTGCTGTGCAGCTCTGTGATGGAATACTTAATTTTTTTACATCTTCCCTGGTTGTTTTAATGGCAGGGTTACGCTAAAATCAAAAATTCTAAAAAGAAATGAGCAGTAATGCAGGATGAAAAATGGGTATAAACTTTCTGATGGAAAGTAGCCATTGTCAGTCTAAGAATAATTCAGCTGTAAAGAGGGATTGTCACTAAATAGAAATAGATGCTTCTGTTCTCTCAAGCATCTCCTCAGGAGTACAAACCCCTGTGGTAATAAAGAGATTGTTATAGTCAGGATATGATTTCAATGAAGATCTCTTGCATTAAGAACATCTGTTTGCAATCTTCCCCTGGAACCAAGCTGAGGAGGAACAGGATCATATTTTGCTGCAAGAAAAGGGAAGGATTAAAGAGGGACCAGTAGGACTATTTTTCTTCTGTCACCAAGAGCAGAGATTAGGATGCTGAAGGCATCTCAGAAGAATGATTCCAGCTGAGGAATTAATGCTGTGTTCTGTGGCTGAGGAGATCAGTGTCCATCAGCAGCCCAAGCAGGAGCTTTAAGGCTTTAAGTTAGTCAGAAACCACGATTTGGAGCCTGTCTCACACCTTTGTTAGCTTCATGTGCTTAGACAGATTTATTTTATTACCATCTGCAGGCTTTTCTTCCCTTCTTTAAATGCTCTTTTGGGGCTCTCAAGTGACTGCATAGCTTTATCTCTTCCCTTCTGTCCTACCTGCTTCATTGTTATCCTACCTACTCATAAATATTGAAAACAGTTTCATTGTGTTTGAAGAAAATAAGAATTTGGGGCTTTTGTTAGAAGTCAGCTTTTTGTAGAGTGCCATATTTTAGATATTCCAAGTTTTGTAATGTCAAATAAAACTCATTGACACTCAGAGAACACAGACACAAGATTTGACTTCAGTGTCAGTTCATTACTGATCCAAACCCTTCTCAAATGATCTAAAGCAACTTGTGAAAAGTTGAATATGAAAATTTAATTAAATTTTTATTTAAACTTCTATTTTAATTTTAAATTAAAATTTAATTTTTTAATATGAAAAATTAACATTTGTGGCTTAGCCTGAATTTGTATCTTCGTGGAAGTATTGGGGATGCAGTTACTCCTGTTCCTTTGTGATTCCCCTGTAATTCCCAGGGCATATTTCCCCAAAATCAGGATTGTAGTGGTGTGAGTGTCCTGGATTGTTAACCCTGGGTCAGGTAATCCCTCCCCAGAGCTGCAGCACCTTTGGAAGTGCTTCAGTCAAAGCCGTTGGAGCTCAGGGGCTGCTGGGGAGCTGCAGGGTGGTGTTACTGAAATCCAGAGCTGGGAGAAGCAAGGAGATGATTTTGCTGTTCAATTGCTGGATTGGATCCTATTTTGGATGAGGACAGAGGTTGCAGCAGTCACTGAACACACAAAATCTGCCTTTTCTGGGTGTAAAATAACACAAAGGTCACCCATGCACAGGTTCCCTGCAGGAAAGTCCTTTCCCTGCAGTGATGGATGAGACACAACCTGCTGAGAAGTGAATTTTGGCTCTAAAATGGCCTTGATTCTCTCCTCCCTGGATCCGAAGGAAATGCTGGGGAGAACTTCAGAGCAGTTCCTGGAATGGGGGCACATCAATCTTATTTTTCAGAAAGCTTTTAACAAAATGCCAGCCAAGTCCAAGCTGGCTCTCACTTGCTCAGTTTTGATGTCTCTAACTTTTACTCAGTGCAGTCTGACCACAGAATGGAGTCTGATTTACCTGGCAGGCTCATGGGAGAGGATATTTATAATTATAATTACAGTTACTGCTGCTTTTTGCCTTTCCAGCTTTTTAGTTTTTTACTCTCCCTTTAAAAAATTCCTTATTTTTAGCTGTATTCAAACAATAAATCCATTTCGATAAAATTCTTTTGGAGCTGAAAAGCAAATTTCTGTTGTGATATTTTGATCTTTTGTAAACCTTAATGCATAAATTGCTGCCATTGTCCATCTTTGCCTCTTCCAGCCTCTGTGCCAGGATTTCTTTTCCAACAACAGTAGCAACAAAAGCAGCGTGAAATTCAAATTCTTACCCCAGAGGGTAAAGCACTGTACACATTGCAGCTATCCTGACCTCCTGTTTTAATCTTTAACATATGTTGGGCCTGTCTCAGTGATTCCCAAAAGGAAGAAATAAAGTCAGGGATGTTCAGCTCACCATGAGGGTGGTTCAGCTTTACTTAATGCCGAAGGTGAAGCATCACCTACTTGAGGAACAAACTGCTCCATGTTTTTCTCTCTGAGTGGAAAAGCAAATTTTAATTTCATGCTTTTTAAAAATGTATTTCTACCTTGGAGAATTTCATACTAATGTGCATTACCAGGCTGGCACATTGTCTTTTATACTGGAAAATAATAATGAAAAAGTATTTTGGAGAATGAAAGAGCTTAAAAGAGTTTCAACATTTTGTTTTCTCACCAATGTATTTTGCTTTGCCCTTGGTTAATTATCTCTGAGAGACATTAATTCAATCATTCAGTCTTTTACTTTATTTTTTTTTTTTAATGTGCTTTTTTCCTATTAATGTGGTGGTGGTGAGCAATTTCTAATCACTGCTCAAAGGAGGAAATAACAGTGATTTTCTCATCAAACATCTCCCTCCTCCACTGGAGTTAAATTATGTGCTTAATTGCTTTGGAAATGATCAGAGCCCTTATTTCCTTTATTACTGTACTTTACTGATTATTTTAAAGTCTAATTCTTAGCTTATTATTCCAATAAAAAATAGCTTTTAACCCATAGGTTGTCCTGTGATGCTGAGAGAATTTCTCAGTTCTTTCAGGACTTCTTGGGGTTCTTCAGTGTGGTTTTATTTATTCTTCATTCTTGATTTATTGTTACGTCTCAGGAGACTAAGCCAAATAAACCTTAGCATTGAAAGCAGCACGGGGAGGAGGATGAAGTCTCATAAATTCTGCTTTTATTTGGGTAAGCACAAAAGATAGGTATGGTTTGAATTAAGGATGTTTGTCCTTGTTTCACCGAGTAAAAAAAGGAATTTAGACAGTCCTGAGTGATTTTGTGCTTCCATTTGTCCATGGCACTATGAACATTGATTTACACCTTAAATTATGAATAAACACTTTAATCCCTAGGATTATCTTCATGGGCTGGCTGTGAATTTCTGAGAATTAAATTTGATCTGCAGGGGGAACATGCTGCTTTTGGTTTGAGCTGGGAGAATTTTATGCCAATTAATTTATAAAGTTTTCCTGATTCCCTCTTTGATTAGATGTAGAGCATTGTGGAAACTAAACAGGAGCATTGCTGACTTGATGAATACATTGCAGTGGAAACTGAATAACAAACTGCTCTAACTTGTGTGAAATAGAAATTATTAGTGAAGCCTGAGCTGAGTGAATTATCACATTTCACAGGTAACACACGCTGGGTGTGTTTATGAATGACATTGATGTGCTGCAGCAATTTTTCCTAAACCCCTGGAGTTATTTTGGGGCAGCACAGCCTTGAATGCTGAAAAGCAGCAGTGAGAATTATTTATGACATCAGGGGGCTATTTATGCATAAATTGTATTTCTGTCACACTGCCCACTTCTGCTCCTCACCCAAATCTCCAGATATTGAGGGCGAGCTGCACTTTGGTCAGAAATACCCCAAACTTTTCACATGGCATCATCTGAGAGGGGAAACTGTTCCCATTTGGGCTGGGTTGCGCTGCCAACATCAACATCTGAGCTCATCCCCTCCCTTCAAACATTTGCATTTTTGTTTTCCTTACTATAAACTTTGCATTCCTGGCTGCTTATGGGCTCAGTCTGGCTCTTGAGCAGCTTCAGCCAGTGCAGGGCTTTTTGCTGGAGATTTTCTCCAAGATGGGTAAAATTTCTGCTGGAGAAGGAGGTACCTGAATCCAGTTAGGGGTTTTTTGCCTCTTAGGCTGCTTCTTGCACCTCATTTCTCTTCTCAGCACCAGATTTCTTAGTGCTCTTAGCATCAAAGGTATTTTGTCTTGCAGCTGTAAATCAGAAGGCTGTGAGAACATCTGCTGAATGTAGAATGAGCCTCTGAGTGACCTCCTGTTCCCCCTGAGATCTGTTTTCTTTTGGGACACTTTCATTTGCCTCTTTATCTGCGTGCTGTCTGTGCTTTATTTTTGAATTTTTCCTTTTGGCTTGTTGCTTTGCTTCTTCCTCACTGCTTATGTTTTCACAAGTCAGGCTCAGGCTGTTTTTTCTCTTCCTGAAAGAGTGAAAAAAATTGATTTTTACAGTTTGTGCTTTTGATCATTTGAAATCTCAAATAATACCACAACAAAATAAGGCTGAAGCATCAGCTTGACTAAGAAGCTGTCTGTCCATCCTGCTAAATGTTGATTTGTGTCTGTTGGTGAATCCTGGGAGCTGCTGGGAAGGCACCAAGAGGTGAATTTGCTGCAGCAGTTGAAGGAATTCCCACTTCCCTCTGGATCTGTCTGCAGAAGGGAATTTGGGAGCTCAGTGCAGGGTCTGGCATCTCTAAAAATGCTTTTAACAACATTTTAATGAGATACCGGATCATCTGAAGCACCAGAGATGATTTTCTTTCATCAGCTTTGTGCTCAGCTGGGATTTCTGGGGCTGCTGTGCGTGTCCCTGCAGTTTGTCAGCCTCGTGCTGTGCCAGTAAAAATGACATCAGTGGGATTGTTCATACTGGGAGTTGGGGCATTACTCATTTGGAGTCACTGGGGAGCAGGGAAAAAAAACAGGGATTAGAATTCACATGTTCTGCCTTAAAATCAGGAGTTGGTAAGAGCTGGTGCTGATCAGAAATCACTGGTTTTCATTTGAGTTCTGATTTCATCAGAGCAAGCACCAAAAGGAAAAAGTGGAGGGGAAAAATGGGAGAGGAGATACAGATCTAGATAAAATTAAAATGGGAAGAGGTTTGGGCTTTATGTCATGCAATAAATCAAATCTAAACAAGGCCAATTTTTCTGAGGAATAGTAACAAATCTGGGAGACATTGGTTCAGTCATCCTACCTGGAATGATCCAGGTGTCCAAAGCACCTGGGCTGGTTCTTTGTACAGCTCCTGCTCCTACAGCACCTACCCCATTTGAAAATTCAGTGTAACAGTAGTGAATAACCCCATAATCCAGGCTGAAAGCCAGGCTGATAATCCTCTGTGAAATTTAATAGCAAAGGTCATCTGGAGAGGAGTGATTTGTCAGCAGCATTGGCACCAAGGAGTGGGTGGAGCAGATTTGATCATGGAATCACCATCCCAGAATAGTTTGGGCTGGGAGAGACCTGAAAGAACATTTAGTTCCAGGGGCATCTTCCACACTTTGTGGTGTGCTGCTGATGCTCCAAGGTGTGCTGAGATGGTTCCCTGTGGGAATTGCCTGGTAGGAATTGGCTGCCAGGGGTTCTCCCAGCCAGGGAAGGAGGATTTTGAGTGTGTTTGAGCACTGGCTGTGCAGTGGAGCAGCTGCTGGGAAGCAGAGCCAGGGCTGCTGTTCAAGGCAGCGTCCTACAGTAGTTGTTGAGCTAAAAGTGCTTGGGAAGTCACTCCACAGGGATTTTCATTCTTTGATGGGGATAGTCCCCAGAAAGTCATTTACAAATGGAAATTCACTGTCTGCCTTTTGCGGAGGAGTGGATTCTCCGTGTGTGTGCAGATCTGTGGATGATCCTGATGAAAGATGATCAGATTGTGCAAAGAGGGCTCCGAGGACTCTGAAGAACAAAAATGAATTGAACATCCCACTCTGCTTTTCAGAAGAGCTGGCAATTTACAGCCAGAGCTGATTAAACCTGCATTGACTCGGAACCATCATTAATATAAATCACTCCTCTTCAAAGGCCATTTTCAAGGACTTGGTGTAAAAAAAAAGAAAACTCAAACCCTACAATCCTTATTGGTTTCATTTGTGTTTGAAGAGTTCTTCTGACTTGCTTTTCCAGTCCTCTGACAAGCTTTTTTTCCTTTTAACAGCTGTCTATAAATTTGGGCAGTTGTTTTACTGGTAGCAATGATATAAAAGCTGCCGCAGCTCCACAGTGGGAGTAGGTCCCTAATTAATCTCATGGAATCATGGAGTTGATTCATGGCAGTGTTTTTGATGTTGCTCAGAGCTTTTAAATGTCTTTATATACTGAAAGCTCCCAATCCAAGCAAATTCCAGTGGAGTACAGCTGCAGTAGGATGAGGTAGTTTCTTTTATGTAGGTGCTGGATGAGATGCCAAGATCCAGGGAATCCCTCTCAGGATATCCCATGAAAACACAGAAACTTGGGAAAAAGGTCAGGAAGGTGGGGCTGTATTTGAGCAAAAAGAAAAGCTTGTCTCAGGACATGGAGAGAAGCTTTAGGATAAATCAGGCTGTTCCCAGGGTGGTGTTTTCCTTGCTGTAAGGAGAGCAGGATCTCGTTACACAGTGCCAATTATCATGGTGAACAATGGACTTCTTTCTTTTTTGTCAAAATATTCCAAGAGTTCTGCTTTGTAAAATGCTTTTGTGATGAGCTCAAGCTGTGTCTTGACAAAGTCTTCCCCGCTGAGCTGAGTCCTCTGTGAGGGAGGAAGTGTGGATTTAATGATGCCAGTGGGGTTTTTTTTTTTGACCTGCAGATGGTGGAAGAAAGCGAGGAGAGGCTGACAGAGGAGCAGATCGAGTCCCTCCTCCAGACAGTCACCAACATCCTGCCAGGAGATCCAGAAGAGCAGCAGAGAGACTCAGCAATGGCAACAGAAGACAAAGGTGACCAGGCATAGGAGGCAGCTCTTGCAGAAGAGAGCCAGCTTAGTCTGGGTTTGATACCAGCTCAATCCTGTATTGGACATAACTGTAAAATATATTCAATTTTTTATTATTTGGACATGATGAGGGAACCAATTGTTCACAAGCAAGCAGGGAAAAGGACACTATTGTTTGGGTGTTTTGTCATAAACGGGGGTGGCAGTGCCAGAGTTTGCAGTGGAGCAGCCTGAGGAGTGCTGGGGCTCAGCATCTGTGGGGATTTTTCCATTCCCCACAGAATCAGCACAGCAGTGCTGCAATGAGAATTCCTTTCAGGAGCTTTGGAGTTGCCCAAGTGGCTTCCAGAGCAGTTCAAAGGCAATTTTGGGACTGTTTGCAGACAGGACACGGGCAGGGATGTACAGGAACTCCTTGGGATCTGGCCATGCACTCCCAAATCTTGGCATCATGGAATTGAGTGGATCTGTGGGAGAGCAACTCAAGGATGTCTGATAGTCCCTTCTAAATAAAAGAGATCCAGATTCAGCAAATTGCTCTGAAACCAAGGAGCTGGGGGGGTTTGAAGCTGTGAAATCAAAGCTGTGAGTGCTGAAACAGCAGAATATTGAGGTGTCTCTTTGCCCTCTGAACATTTATTCCAATATTTACTCACAGACGAGGCACTCCTGTGATGGAGGAATAAATGAGGCAACACTGAGCTCTTGATCTGGTTTGGAAAAATGAGAGTCAGGCCTGGATGGAGCAGAATTTCCTGAGCTTTTTTGTCTGATGAAGGATTTCAGGATCAAGTATTTAATGCTGAAAGCCTTTGTGATTATAATAAATCATTTGTGTGTGAATATCCACACAAAGTCAGCCACTGGTTTAAATTGTGGCTGCAGACCATTCTTTTATAATTATTATGATGTACTGGAAATAGAAATAAAATTTTAAGTACATCCTGGGTGTTTTGTGACTTACAGATGAAATCAAATCACAATATCTGACTCTTTTTTTTCCCCCCCTTCAGCTCTGTCACGGGTTTATTTTGTGTTTTTATGCAGAGAATTTATGCTTTAAGAGCTTCAGTTGTGCAGTGTATGAAAGGGACTGATAAATTCTAGTGTCTGGGGGATTTGTCATATCCGTTTCCATGGTATTTAAGCTTCTTTGACGCTTGGAGAGGAAAGAAAATTATTGGGAAGATGTATTTGTCACCTCTTAAAGATAATTTATCATACATTAAATGCCTTCCAAGTCTGGAGACTAAAGGTACATTTAGACTGGGTTTGTTTAGTGTTGGATAGGGAAAGCCCTTGATGGGTTTGTGATACATCAATGTATATTTTTCCCTCCAAAGGGGAAAGAAAATGAGAGATAAGTGGATCGCAGCAGGGAAAGACACACAATTAATTTTAAAATTAATATTTTTATTCACATCAGCCACTGATGTTGTTTGACAGGCTGCAGCCTTGGGCTGCATGTGTTTACATTTTGATCTGCCCTTTCCTAAAACGAAGTTATTGAGATTTGTTCTGAACATATCAAAAGCAGCTGGAAGCAGACTGTAAATATCTTCAGCCAACAACTCAACAGATCCCTGCAGTTGGATGTTCCATCTTGGGAATTGATTTGTGGCTGGGATGGATTTTTGCCAGCAGCTGTGTTGTTGTAGGGTGCTGTACAGGATGCAGGAACTCCTTCACTTGCTGTTGGAGTGAACCTTTCCGTTAGTATCAGTTCCAGATGTTAACAGCTGTCAGCCCTCTGCAAATGCATGGATGGTAAAAAACAATTCCCCTTAAAATCCAACACTGAGCAACATTTGAAAGGATCTGGGCTTGTGGCATGTGCACAGCATCAAGAAATGAGTTTTAAACCTGCTGCCTGTAAATTCAGGTGAGGATTTCCTCTGAGGACAGGTTTGAGTTGTGGTATTTGATCTTTTCTGTGTCAGAACCCCCAGATGAGAAATGGTTTATGGAGAGCAGATATCACTTTGCTGGTGTGACATCATTTCCCAATGTCCTGAATATCACACAGAAGGTCTGCCAGTCTCCCACATTTCTATGTATTCCCTTAATTATTCCCTTGATTAACCATTCCCTACCACAGGAGATGGACCCTCCTCATTCTTGGAACAGAGAAAGTGGTACCAAGTGGCTCTGGGGGTGCAAGAAAGGTAAATGTGTGTTCTGAGAAAAAATTGAGCACTCAGCTCTTCCTGAATATTTTAGTGGATATTACTTTTAATTTTCTCACTTCTTATCTCTCCCTCACTTTTTTTCTCTGTTGTGTGTGTGTTTGGCTCTGCTCAGGGCTGCTCTTGTGCTGAGAAAGGGGGACGAGCTGCCAGAATTCCTGATCTGATACTTCAAAACACCTGGGCTTTCTCTTCCCATAAATTCCGATTTTTTGAGGATTCTTTGGTAGTCCCTGCTGGAGAAGTTTTATTAGAAAAAAGCTTTGTTTTACTGGAGGAGAAGGAGCTGCTGCTCCTACCTGGCTGTGCTCTGGTGCTGGGCAAGGGAAATGGAGCTGCTGGAACCAGATGTGCACAGGGAATTTTGAGGAAGATCCAGGAAATCCCTCCTGCTGAGCTGAGCAGCTTGGGTGGAGCTCAGGGCTGTGTGTGAGGCTGTGCCCACCACTGAGTGCAGAATGGGACAAGCAGGGAGCAAAATTCATTTGGTTTGTGTTTGTGTGGGTGTTCATTAACTGAAGGCGAGCAGCCTGAGGCAGGAAAAGCAAAGCCACAGAATTTGGAGCTTTGGGGGTTTTTTTGGATGCAGATTGACTTCAAACAGCACTGAAATGGCTCTCATCTGATTAATGCACACTTTGCTCTCCACCCACTGGAAATTTGTGTTTTTCTCCATTGATGATTGGAGGGGGAGGATTTGGTCGACCCTGCTGGAGCTGGGGGTTGGACTCTGTGATCTCCAGAGCTCCCATCTTTTCCCTTCCTCCAGCCATGGATTCAGTGTTTCCATCTCATTCAGGCTGCTCTCAAGGGCTGGGATGCAGAAATCTGGGATTTGCTCCCTGTCCCCCTTCCCATCCCTGCCTGGCCCCTTGGCAGGTGGGAGCCTGACTCTGGCATGGTGCAAATCCTTCATTTCTGGGATGTGGACAAAGGGAAGGGGACAGACTGCCAGGGCTCACAGCAGGGTTTGGTGTTGTGCCTGTGGGTTCAGCACTTCCCTGGGGCTGGAATTGGGGTTTGTGAGCAGCTGAGGCTGTTCCAGAAGAGGCTGCTCTCATGTGAGGGATGAGTCCCAGGAAGCTGCTGGGATAAGGTGGAGTTTCGGGGTGATCTTAACCAGTTTTCTCTTGAATTTTTCTTAATTTGGGCAAAATTATTCCACAGTGCCTCTCCACTACCTTAAATTTGGCCCAGCCCAGAACCATTCCCTCCTGCACTCTGGTTCTGCTGAGCCCCTCCAGCTCAATCCATCCCAGCCCAAACTGGGATTATTCTGGATCCCACTTTTGAAACACACACACACACACACACACAGAGACATTTTTCTGTGTTGCATTTTCTCTGATGAAACTTTTTATTGCCTCTGCCTGCCCTGGGGTGGCAGTTGTGCCAGGGCAATGTGCAAACAGCATGTTCTGCAGCCCAGAAACTGCCTGGCTTCCTTGGCACTACATCCACTTCCCTGTGCTCCACAGGCTTCGGAAGCAGCGGCTCAGCTGGGAGTTAAACTTGTGAAACGCTTTGGGTTTTGGCAGAGAGGAGACAGGAAAGGCTTTGTGCACCTCAGCCTGGCCAATATCAGGCTTTTCCTATTTTTTTTTTTTATTGCTGCCCATAACCAGAGTGGAATTTAACCCCTGGGGATGTGCTGGAGGCTTTAAACATGGACTAGAGTGATTTTTTACCAGGTCTGAAAGCATCTCCCAAGATTTTGCTGCCTGTGAAGGAGGGAAAGGAACCTGAGGGCTTTTATTGGTAGCTGTGGGTCAAGTGTCTGCTCTTGTACGGGGCTGAGAGTGTTCCAAAAATTGCAGTTTTTGAAATTAATTTGATGTTTTCTGTTTTCTGAGTGCCCCAGACCAGGACAGGAATGAGCAACACACGCTGAGCTCCAAAATGCCGTGGGTGGACAAAAGGCAGGTGGGGTTTGGAGAAATGTGCAGAACAGGCACCTTGGATGTTCTGCAAGCATCATCCCAGTCCCCATCTGGATGCACTGGTCCCTTATCCTGTGGGGAAATTGGGACAGGACTGACCTTCCTGGGGTTTGGCTGAGCCCAGGCAGCTCTGGAGCCCTTCCAGCCTCACCAGCTGCAGTGTTAAATCTCAATCCTCTGTATCATCTGCTGCTTTTTTAATACTCTTCAAATTCATCTGCATATTCCCTCTTGTGTGGTTCCTGGATTTCCTGACACAAAGCCCTGGCTCGGGGGTGCAGCAGCCGTGATGGAGGGAGGGAAAAGGAAGGACTGGAAACACCCACACAAAACCTGATGGGATCCAGCTCTTCCTGCCTGCAGGTTTTCTCCTTCATCACCCAGAAACCCCCCCAAAAGCTGCTGCTTCCCCCTGCCCACGCTGGATGAGCGGGCTGGGAGATGGAAATGGGCTAATCCAGGCCAATTTAAACATTGTCCCTTTTCCTCTTCATCATCCTGCCTCCAGGCATGGGCTCAGCAAGAAGTTGCCTCTTTCCCACCCCCATGGGCTGCTCCACATGGGACAGGACCCCCTGTCCTGTGTCACCAGCTCAGGTGAGACTTAGCAGCTGAAGCCAAGGGGAAAAGCAGCTCAAACCACTGGAAATGGCCCTAAATCCTCCTGCTGCTCCCCAAAACTGCTGGAGGGTCTCCATGGGTAACCCTGTGCTGCTGGAGTTGTCACCTTTGGAACCCAGCAGGTTTAGTGGGATGAGATGGGATGTGCAGGTTTTCACCCCAAACCTGTGACTGACTCTCCAAACGCTGCTTCTTCCTCTTTGGGTTTTGATTTTTTCCCAGCCTTTTCCCCCTGCTTTTCCACTGCTCTGGAGCTGAAATCTTCCCTCCAGTGCCAGCTGAGCTGGTTGGAACAGGCCAGGAGCAGAGACTCCAATGAAAACCACAATATTTTGGGAGCAGTGGTGAGGCAGGGAGAGTCGGAGGGAGCCTTTGGATTGAGCATTTTCTGCTGGGGCCTCAGCAGAGCCCAGGAGTTAATCACTCAAATATGCTTATGTGTAACTAATCTCTGCAGGACAATGAGCTGAGGAATTGTTGAATGCAACTGAAATGGGGCAGAGTGGTTGCTATAAAAATGATGTCCCGAGCCAATGGGAGCCAGCAGGCTCCTATAAAAGTGGGTGGGGAAGGAAAAGCAGCTGGTGGGAAGAGATCCCCAAAAATCCCAAAGCGTGTCCTGAGCTGCCTCTGCTTGGGCAGAGATCTTCCTGAGCTGCTGGAAATCAGGCTGAGCCCTTCTCCCAGCACCTGTGGGGTCAGCAGATGCTGTGGGAAGGGCAGGATCTGCTCAGAATCACCTGGTGGAGCCTAAAAAGATGAAATCCAGCAGTGCTGTGAGTTGGGCTTGGATTTTGGGGGGCACTGGGATGTTGTTCCAGGAGCTGGGTGGGATCCATGGAAGTGGAAGCCCAGGTGAGGCTGAATTTTGGGAGCTGTGAGAGTTATCCCACGGGATATCCATGGAGCAGGTGCTGCTGCCAGGGCCTTGCAGCAGGAATTGGGAAGTGGGGAAAGGGATGGGAGTGGATTTTAGTGGATTTAGGGATTAGCTCAACTGGGCTGACCCCAATGACCATCTCAGGGCCTGTCCTGCACACTCATCCCTTGGCTCCCAGCCTTCCCACCAGCCGGTTCTGGCTTTATCCCTGATGTTGTTTGGAGCCTCACGGGTTCCTTGCTCCGGGTGCAGTTGGTGACCTCAGCACTGGCCAAGCTGGCAGGAGAAAATTCCTCCTGGAGCTTTCTGCCAGCCTTCAAATCCCCCAAAGAGGTGTTAAGTGCAGCTATTTCCAGCGCCAGGGCACAAATATTTATTCCTGTGGTGATGCCATTGCCAATCCTTCAAAAGGCTGGAAATCCCAACATGTCCAGGCATCATGTTCCTCCTGCTGCTCTTTTTTTTTCTCCAGGCTTTTAGTTTAATAATATTTTA